ACATTTTGTGGGGTTTTATGGGGGATGGGGTTAGGAATTTGGCAACAGAGAGAACGGTGACCGGTTAAGCAGAAGGCACGGTTTTACAAGGGGAGATTCCACTTTGGTGCCTATAAGGAAGATGGGAGCGTGGATGGTGCAAGGTGATGATGGGGCATTAGAGGTGAACTTGAGTCAATTTACGTGTTTGTTAAGGGCTGGAGATCTAAGGTTTGCTTTGATCCAGTTAAACGAGCTAACTTATGTATTGGGCAAATACTGTGAGCCAGGTACAGCCACGGTTATGTTATTTGAGCCACCCAACAACCTGAACAGATAGATATTCTATTCTCTGCGTTAAGATGTGAAAACGGAGGTGTAAAGAGGTTCATAACTTAAGTTAATGTCACACAGCCGTTAACCTAAGCTCCTTGTTCTTCCCAGGACATTTTGACATCTAACCTGGATGGGCTTCCATGAAGAACCCAGGGTCCCAAGTACTCAGGAAGGGCCTAGTGGTTCACGTGGAAGTTTCTGGATCGGAAGTCAGGACCAGAGCAGTGCAGGAGCTCTGAAATGAGGGGACAGGAGGTGGGTGGACAGCGGGGGAACTGAAGGGACGGTCAGGATAATGCTGACAGTAGTTATTCTGCAGAAGAAGGAGAGAGGCCCTGTAGGAAGTGTGACTATAGAGTTACTAGCACTGATCTGGCAGGGGATGGCTGTCACGTTGCAGAGCAGGACCGGGCGACTGGCATGCCAGACGAGGTGCCCAGAGGGGAAGACGGTGGTGGTGTGGGGGGAAGTCCCCTTGACCTCCTTTGGCATATAAATTAGGGAGCCCCATGAGACATGCTTTCATTTTCATTGGACTTGGCCCTTTAACATTTGCCCAATCACTCTCTTTCAATATTCCTTTCTTATGCTTTGCCAGTTTATGGCTTTTGTAGGTCAATTCTTGCATTTTATTTAGAGGAGAGGGAGGGAGGGAGAGAGAGAGAAAAAAAGCAAAGATTACCGATTACCAAAATTGGATTAAGTTCTGTCTGGCAGGGTTTAAAGAAATAGTGTTTACCCTCTAATTACCATCAACTAGGAATTTAAACGGCCTATTAAATTTGACTTATTTTTTTAAAACTCTCGATTGTTCCAGCTCTAACGTGTTCTGGGATTTGGGAGGCTTTTGCTATTCTTCAAATGTATAAAGGAAATTCTCTGCCTCCCCCCGCCCCATACACACACACACCGCTTTTTAAACATATTATATATCTGTAGCAGGATAGTACATATTATATATACTGGCTTCATTAAAAAGCAGAAGCTTGCCCAACCAGCATGGCTCAGTGGTGGAGCATCGACCTATGAACCAGGAGGTCACGGTTCAATTCCCGGTCAGGGCACATGCCCAGGTTGTGGCTTGATTCCCCGTGTGGGGGGTGCAGGAGGCAGCCGATCAATGATTCTCTCTCATCATTGATGTTTCTATCTCTCTCCCTTCCTCTCTGAAATCAATATGAATATATATTTTTTAAAAAGCAGAAGCTCACAGCCAGGTGCAGCCGGCTCTGCCAGCCTCTGGAGAGCAAACTGTTCACCAAGTTCTTGGTCAGAAATTTAAGGACGCCTGAGTGATGCCTTTGGGATAGAGTGTGGCTTATTCATCGCCCCCTCCATCCCTCCCTCCCCCCGTAGTAAAAGGTTAGGCCTAGAATGGAAACCAACCACCTTTACTGTGTGTTTGAGCTTTGGAAAAAAGGTATGAGTATTCCTTATCAAAGTGGGTGGTGTGTGGGCATGGGACTTGGCTGAGGCAAGTTGAGGCATCAAAGGTGTAAGCCTGACCCTGAGGGAATGCCTCGCTGGCCTGACCCTGTTCTCCAGGGCCTCATGTGCTCATGGGTCAACTGTGCCTTGAAGGGTTTGGGGAGCTACGAAACTCACCAAAAGATCTCTCTCCCTCTTTACTAAAGTAGGTTTTTATTGATTTTCAGAGAGAGAGGAAAGGAGAGATGGAGTGAGAGAAACATCAATAAGAGAGAAATATCTATTGGCTGCCTCCTGTGCATGGGATGATGCTCCCTGTTGAGCCCGAAACTGGGGTGTGTGCCCTGACCTGTAATTGGCAACCTCTTGGTGCATGGGATGACGCTCAACCAACTGAGCCACAGCAGCCAAGACTCTCTCTCCCGCTTTAAAAAAAGAAGTGTTTAATGTTTTACTTATTTATGCGCTCATTGGTTGATACCTGTGTGTGCCCTGACTGGGGAACAAACCCGCAACCTTGGTGTATCTGGACAACGATCTAACCAACTGAGCTCCCCAGACAGTTCGTGTTCTCGTGTTCTCTCTCTCTCTCTCTCTCTCTCTCTCTCTCTCTCTCTCTCTCTCTCTCTCTTGAACATAGCCTATGGGAAAACCTGGTCAACATCTACCCCGTTCCTGCCCAAAAACTGCCTAGGGTAATTATTTGTGCAGTTTATTTTGTGTAGAATCATAGGTTACATAAAAGCATCTGTTTACTTCTCCAGGCTTTCATCTCTTTCCCTCTCCTCAATTCTGAGGTGTAGATTTCTGTCATGCACCCTCCAGTTTGTTGGTTCTTTTTGACACAGGTCGGGTTCTGTTTTTCTTTTTTTAATAGTTTATTGCTTTTTAGAGAGAGAGAGGAACCATAGTGACATCCGTCAGCTGCCTTATGCATGCCCCCTACCAGGGATCGAGCCTGCAACCTGGGCATGTGCCCTGACTTGGAATCAATCCCACAACCTTTCAGTGCATGGGACGACACCCAACTGATGAGGTACACCGGCCAAGGCCAGATTCTGAGTTTTGTTGAAGGCCTCTGTGTCAGCAGTTAGATCTCAAGCAAAGACTAGGGTTAAGGGAGCACTTGGGCTCCCTGGCCATTCAGGAGCTAGACTAGGTGTCCGCTTAAGCTGAGCCTGGGAGAATACCTGAGCGAACTTGTTTTTTGCCTTTTTCCCAAGGACTGGGGCAGAAATCCAGCAAGGGCTGTGATATGTGTCTGCATTATTCTGCGCTAAGCTGCCTGCCACCCTGCCACAACCTGCTCATGACCTCAGCTGCGTAAATCCTCCGGGGAAAGCCTTTTACACTTGCTGCTTCATTCTGAACCCAGCTCTGGAACTGGTTTGGGACCGCTCCCCAGTTGTCTCTGGGGAGGCCACGTCAGCCACTGCCGTCACTTTGGAGAACTCTGCTGCGGCCTGCTGGCTGCTGGCCGCTGGGGCCCACTGCCTGGGAGCCGCGTGGCCACTTTCATTGTAAACATCTGGGGTCAGAATTAGCGGGCAAACATGGTAATCCTTTTGTGGTGTTCTGAGATAATGAAAAATATCATTGACTGACAGGACAAGCAGTTCCTTCTAAGTTTCCCAAAAGCTCTTAAACCACCCAAATGTCCTTTCCAGTCCCCACGGGCCACACTCTCCCGAAGAACAGGAAGAGGCAATGGAGGCCTCACCTTTTTCGGTTGACCTTGCCTTAGTTTTGCCTTGTAACTCGAGAAGGGGATGTCACCTTTCTGCCTCCGTCTTGTTTCAACTGCCCATCAATCACAGCCCTTGGTGTGTCCAGCCGCATGTATAACATGGCTTTGGAGTGTTTCCTGTGAGCTTCGGAGCCCCTGGGGCAGGGGAGCCCATACTCCCTTCTCTTTTGCCCCAAACGGCTTCCTCTCCTCAGATCCTGGCACCCCATGGGCCTTCCATGTCTGGTGTTGAATGCACCGGAGTCGAACTTGTGACCTCCGGGCAATGATGCCTCTGAGAGCCCATTCGGCTTTTTGACCCCCCGATGTTCAAGGCTCTCAGGCCTGACGGCGTGACCCTGGAGAAGGTTCCTTCCCCTTCATCTCCTTGTCTTCTGAACAGGCGTTTCATCTGTCCGTGCGGCTGAGAGAGCGCAGCTAAGTCTTAATAAGTAGCACATGTCCGTCTAGAGCACATTTCCCCGTCGTTAAAACTCCCGCTGGCTGCCAGACAGTAGCGTTGGACTGCTCTGTCCCCCACCGAGGTTTTGTGTATGTTACGTGTCAGAAATGTAATTGCTCCCATAATGGCCAGTTAAGCTCCCGCTGGCTGATGTCTAGACTTTTGGTTTATCATCTGCGCCAGGCACTGCAGAATCACCCTGGACGGTGTGTCCGGGCCACGCCCAAACGATTTGCACTCGGAGAAACGTGAGGTTTAGAGATGAGTAAATAAGATGTGTGGTTCTTCCCCACAGTTTTGCTTGACTGGTACCAAAGCGGGGGTGGGGGGTGGCAGAGAGGGAGGGGGTTTCTGGTGATTACACAGTGGCTTGCAGGCCAGGGGGATGGTGATGGGGTGATGAAATGATCATTGCTAGACGACGGGTCTCAGTTGTCAGTGCCTGGAGTCCTGTGGATGTTTAGCGAACGCTGTTAAGCAGACAGAGACACTCAAGCTTGCATCCTGTGCGCGCAGCGTGTACTGCCTCACACATTCAGACTTCCAGGCTCTTCTGTCTGCTCTCGGTTTCCAGTGAAGTGCTGAGAAACTTGTCTCATTCTTCCTGGGGAGCCTTTTCCGTAGTCCAAACGTGACCTTAACATTTTCTTCTTTGTAGAAGTGAGTGTCTGTCTCCGGCCGGCCTTTGTCTCCTAAGAGTTGGGAAGTTGGTCCTCGATCAAAACAAACAGGCTGCACTATGCAGAAGGCGTGTGTCCTCTGCCAAGTTTGTAGGCTCCACTAGCCAGCAAACAGACCCAGGGGCCACGTTCAATAATGCTTAGGTAGCCCGCGTGGCTCAGTGGTTGAGCGTCGACCTATGAACCAGGAGGTCCCGGTTCCATTCCCGGTCAGGGCACGTGCCCGGGTGGTGGACTCCATCCCCAGTGGGGGGTGTACAGGAGGCAGCCAATCGATGATTCTCTCTCATCATTGATGTTTCTATCTCTCTCTCCTTCTCCCTCTCTGAAATCAATAAAATTATTTAAAACATAATAATGCTTAGGTGAACCTGAGTTCAGTCCACGGTGAAGGGGATGTTTCTGGTCCCTTGGAAATGGGAAGACCGTTCTCCCTGGTGGCTTGAAAGTCCACGTTTCATTCCGTCACTCAAGACTACTTACTGGGCACCTTTCCTGTGGCCAGCGCTGCGCTCACAGCAGGATGCTGCAGTGAACGAGCCGGGCAAGGGCTGTGACTTTGAGGAACTTGCATGCTCTCAGGGCTGGTCAGACGGTGAACAAGTGAACAAACACGGTGACTTCAGCTTGCTTCGCAAGTGCTGTGAAGAAACAGCCTCCTTCCTGTAAGGGCAGAGAGCGCGCGCTTGCTGCCTGGACAAGGTAAGAAGCTGTCGGCGACCTTTAAGAAGGAAGCCGCGGGTGGCGTTCAGCTCTCCTCTCTTGCACTGGCAGACAGTGTTGCTTAACAGAGAGGGGTTAGGAGCTCAGGGCCTGGAGTCAGATAGTATTTGACTCCGGGTCCCTCTTACCAGTCTTCTGACCTTGGGCAACTGAATTCCCAAGTTTCTTCATTTACAAAATGGGAATATAAAACCTACCTCACTGGTGTAGGGTGGAAATGAACTGAGATGTCAGATGCCAAGAGTCTTGGTGCCCTCTGACCATCATGTCCAGCCTGTGATGGTAGAAACTATATTCTTATCAGCAGTAAATATAATACAACAGTCTATGATAGGCAATTGATTTGCAAAATGGTCTCACTGCTCTTGAAAACCTATTCTGATTTGGTTTCCATCCAGTGGGTAGTGTGTGGTGTGGAGTTCAGACCCAGTTTCTCAGGTTGGCTTGGTGGGTTCTGTTCGCTGTGTGTTTCTTTCAGCCACAGCCCGGGTGCTGCTGGCTTGCCTGTTGGAACTGTGGATCTGTGGGTTCAACGAAAAGGGGAATTGGGGACTTGGTGGTGGGGTAAGAGTGAGATGAGACCAAGAGCTGGTCAGTTGAGAGGCTGGCCAACTAGATGCTGTGGTAGGTGGGAGTGAAGCCTCAGCAGAAGGTTCTGGGTTTGCGCTGTGCCACCTGCTCTCCCAGAGGTGACCAGGGCTCTCAGGCAGGGGCTGACTGTATACCTGGCGATGCTGAGAGATCATCATGGCCATTGATTAGGCTGAACTCTGAATTGATAAGTCAGAAGCCCCAGGGAAGGGAAGGGACGGGCCCAAGCCCACAGTGGCAGCGTAGGCCTTGGGTAAAAGGTGTGAGAAGGCTGGTGGCCATAGCTGGGATGGGATCAAATAAAGGTCACACACCTATAGGTCAGGCTCCTGAAGTGCCCGTCGGCTTGGTGAATTCATCGCCAACACGTACACAAAAATCGGGTGATTTTGCATTTCTAAAAATATGGATTTCTTGAAAAAGTCAGACCTGGCAAAAATTGGGCTTCTATCCTGAGACGGTAAAAACCAGATTGGACCGAGTCGTGGCTGCCTCCCGTAAGCAGGTGGTGTTGGAGGAAATGAAGGCAGGCCAGGGAGCTGGCATGCCGTGGTGGGAGGGGAGGGTGTTGAGAGGACGGACTGTAATGGATAGAGCGCTGAGCTTGGGATCAGATCAGAAGCCAAGTTGGAAGCCTGACTCCCTCCGTGAGCTGAGCGACATTGAACAAATCCTATAAGCTATCTTTCTGTCTTTCTTTTTTAGGGGGCCCATGGTTGTTCTCACTTACGTATTTGGGTAAGTCCTACATTTTCATGTTTCAAGATCCAAAGGCACAGGAAGGTTTATAGAGACAAGTCATCTCCACTGTGTTCCTGCCACCCAGCTCCCTCCCCCGGGAAACCAGTGTTAGCGGTTTCCGGCGGGTCCTTTCAAAGGCGTCTTACTCACATTTGATGAACTATGTAAACGCTCTTCTCATCTTTCTTTTATGTCGATGGTGGCGTGATGTGTACACCCACGGTTCTGCGTTTAGCTTTTTAGCACCCTTGCATTCAGTGTGTCCCCTGGAGAGCGCCCCGATCGAGGCAGAGTTTTCACCCTTCCTTGAGCTGCATGGGGTTCCAGCGCAGGGGACACGCTAGGTCCCACAGCCAGCCCTCTGTTGCCCGGCATTTAGGTTCTTTCCCATCTGTTCCCGTCACAAAGAAGGCTGCAGTAAAATCCCTTGTTATGTGGGTCACTTGACACGCCTGGAGTAAAATTCCTGGAAGTAGAATTGCTGGGTCAGAGGCGGTAGCTTTTGTCATTTCGGTCGGTCTTGTCAAATTTCCCTCCATAGCAGCTGCCCCACACTGCTGCCCTAGCAGTGTGTGAGAGGGCCCGTTGCCCCATACCCTGGCCCTGTGTCACCTTTTGGAGTCTGTGAGGGTTTAGTGAAGAACACAGTGTTTTATAAAAATGTTAATGCTAGCTACAGTTTTATTGGGACCCTGCCATGGGCCAGGCTACAATCTAAGCTGTCTTATTTAATCTTCACAACGTCGAGAGCAGTTTCACACTCATTTGACACACGAGGAAACAAGATTCAGAGAGTTTGAGTCATTTACCCAGGTCACGCAGCTCATACATTGTAGAGGCTGGATTTAAACCTAGAATGATCTAATTTCAAAACCAGGATATTTGCATCGGTAAAGCCCTAGTTTTGGGTGTTGGTGTTCTCAGGTGATACTTGCTTACAGTTCCTGTGTCCCTCCCAGCCACAGCTCGTCTCGCATGGCTGGTTCCTTTGCTCATTCATCAAATATCTGCGAATCTCTGCACTGCAGTAAGCCCTGGGGATGCATCTGAGAACAAGATAGACATAGTCCCTGCCCTTATGGACTGAACAAAAGCAATAAGAAATAGATCCATAGTCATTTATTGTGGTAGACTGTGACAGGACAAAAAAGGAGGTGAGGAGGGTGGTCTATGGGGTGATGTGATCTAATCAGGGGTAGAGGTGAAGGAGGGCCTCTGAACAGGTGATAATATGTGTGCGGGTTTGAACCTGGAGAAGTTGGGGGAAAGTATTTCACACAGAGGGCACAGCATGTGCAAAGGTCCTGGGGTAGGGAAGGTGGTGTTGGAGGAAATGAAGGAAGGCCAATGAGCTGGCATGCAGTGGTGGGAGGTGAGGGAGTGAGGATAGGGTTTGGGGATTTATCCTGAGAGCTCGATGGAACCTTTGAAGGCATTGAAGCTGCAGGGTGATGTGAGTGTAGTGGGCTCTGGACTGTTGGGTCCTTGCCTCAGCACCTCCTGTCACAAGCCGTATGACCTTAGACAAGTTAATCACCTGGCACTTCCATTTCCTTCTCTGTAACATGGGGATGGTAATAGTATCCTGGAGGTTGTGAAGATCAGACATGGGGGCTCTCATACATTTTGACTGCTACGTACAGTGTGAAGTATGTGATACATTCCCTGTGGGTTCACATGAGTACACATGTAACCTACATGTCTCCCCAACATATGATCGATGCGCTCTGATGTTTTCTATTCTAACCTACTTCATTAACGATGGTTGGTCGAGACCCTCTCCATTCATTTTAAAAACACGGAAATGATACATGTCGAGTGCCTGTCCCACAGTTGGCCTCATTAAAGGGTCCTGTTGCTCTCAACCTCGTCGTCATGATAAAGGTAATTCCGGCTGCAGTTCGAGTGGATGGGTCGAGGTCAATGACAGTATCTGAGTCCCGGTGGCTGAAGACACTGGTCTCCCTGCCCCTGTCCCGGAACGGGGAAGAGCCCCACGCTGGGCCTCCTGACTGCGGGAGCTCCCAAGGGGCGCCTGTGAAACGGGCTGGCTGGGTGGTTTCCTGGGAACTGGCTTTCCCTCCTTTTCAGGCCGCCACATCAGACTGTGCTGTTTTCTTTGACTTCTTTGTTACTTACGCGCAGAGTGGCTTTTTCCTGGAAGCCTCAGTCATTACAAGCCTCCCACTTCTTTATTTCAAGTTGTGCCATGATTCGACTTCCCTTTTCAGAGCCAAGGGTCGGTGCCTTAGTGGAATTCATTTGCATTTTCCACGAAGGGTACCACCTTCTTCTGCCCGCTGGCCCCGCCTGCTGGCTGTGCCCGCTCCCTGTGCCCTGGCCCGGGCAGCTGGGATGAGAAAGCAAGATCCCACCTTCTTTTTGTCCAGGAAACACATCCTGGATTCTGAGCGTGGAGGTTCTCAAGGTGAGCCTGGAGACTGAGGGGAGTGATCAGGCCCAGTCACCCCGTGACCGCCACAGCGCGTCACGAGCCCAGCACCCCAGCTTTCCAGGTAATGGAAGCGAACCCTTTAAGCACCAAAAACTTAACCTTGAAATCACTTTAGAAGCACATTTTCCTAAAAGTTAACCGCCTTGGTTCTTCAAAAGAGAACACCTACCAAAAGACCGTTTTTTCTTTATTTTTATTTTTCCCCCAATATATTTTATTGATTTCAGAGAGGAAGGGAGAGGGAGAGAGATAGAAACATCAATGATGAGAGAGAACCATTGATCGGCTGCCTCCTGCACACCCTCTACTGGGAATCAAGTCCACAACCTGGGCATGTGCCCTTGACCAGAATCGAACCTGGGACCTTTCAGTCCACAGGCTGACGCTCTATCCACTGAGCCAAACCAGCTAGGGCAACACTTTGGTTTCTTTAACTCAGAGACATTAGATAAAGAACTTTTTGTGATGATGATGACGAGGACGACGAGGACGACGATGATGGTGGTAGTTGTGGTGGAATTGCGTCCTCCTAAAATTCCTATGTTGAAGAGCTAGCCTCCAGCACCGTAGAATGTGACTGCATTCGGAGATAGGGCCTTCAAAGGGGAGGGTAAGTTAAAATGAGGTCGTGAGAGTGGGCCCTTATCCAATCTCTCTGGTGTCCTCATAGGAAGAGATTTGGACACACAGGGAGACACGCCAGGGATGCTCACACACAGAGGAAAGGCCACGTGAGGACACAGTCAGATGGTGGCTGTTTGCAAGCCAAGGCGAGAGGCCTCAGAAGAAACCAAGCCGGCTGCCACCTTCATCCTGAGCGTCTAGCCTCCAGAACTGTGAGAAAATTAACGTCTGCCGTTTAAGTCTCAGTCTGTGGTATTTGGTTACGGCAGCCCTAGATGGTGGTAACAAAAATAAACAATAGGTACCATTTACCAAGCACTTACCGCAGGCCAGGACTATTTTAAACCGTAGTTGAATCATCTCATCCAACCCCTTAGCAATCCCAGGTTACATGCCCGGGTCACACAGTAAGCCTGGCGCTGGCACCTTCGCTTGACCCTCCACTGCACCTGTGTCTTGCACCTGCATAGTTCCGGGATCCTGGCAGGCACTGCATAGGCAATGTTTCTCATCGCCACAACGGCTCGCCAAGGTGGCTTCCTACTCCCACTTTTCAAATGTACACACTGCAGTTCAGAGTGGTCCCACAGTGAGTGTATTCCTTTCTTGTGGCTGCAGTAACAACTGTGGCTGCTTTAAACAATAGAAATTTATTCTCTCACAGTTCTGGAGGTCAAGAGACCAGAATCAGGGTGTCACAGGGCCATATTCCCTCAAGAGGCTCTAGGGGACAACCCCCCAGCCCCCCCCCCCAGCATATCATTTTCTAGCTGATAATAGGAAATCGGTTTCTTTTCTCTTCCAGCTTCCTTGGCTTGGGGCTGCATCCCTCCAGTCTCTGCCTCCATCTTCACATCACCTTCTCCTCTTTGTAACTCTGTTTTTGTTTTTGTTTTCCCTCTTCTGTTTCCAATCTCCTTCTGCATCCCTCTTACCAGGATACAGGTGATTATATTTATAGCTCCCCCCCCCCGCCCCCCGATAATCACATCTTCTGCCATCGAAGGTAATATTCAGAGGTTCTGGGGATAAGAAGTGACAATATCTTTGGGGCGCCAGTTTTTCTTCCCACCACAGTCAGTGAGTGGCAGAGTAAGCGTTGATGCCAGGGGTTGTCTGATTCCAAAGCCTCTAGTGACTGCTCATGCTTTGGAGCTCCAGGCCTGGTGCCTCTCGGCTCCTTTCTGCAGGGGGCGGGTGTCACTAGCTAAGAATTCCCGGGCACTTTGACCCTGCAGTTCCACTTCTGGAATGCATCCACACAAAGGGTCATGCGGTTGCTAAGACTGACAAAAATGCTCATTCTTTGTGGTAACAAAAACTAGAAACTACTGAAAATTCACCTGTAGGGGACTGGTTAAATGAAGTATGGTAACCCTTAAATGAAATAGTTAAACTATCCTATATAATAAAAGGCTAGTATGCAAATCGACCGAACAGCGGAATGACGGGTCACTGTGATGCGCACTGACCACCAGGGGGCAGACGCTCAATGCAGGAGCTGCCCCCTGGTGGTCAGTGCGCTCCCACAGGGGGGCACCACTCAGCCAGAAGCCAGGATCACGACTGGCAAGCACAGTGGTGATGGCGGGAGCCTCTCCCGCTCCACAGCAGTGCTAAGGATGTCCATCAGTTGGACTTCTCCGAGGTCTCCCAGACTGCGAGAGGGCGCAGGCGGGGCTGAGGGACAGCCCCCCCCCCCTGCCCCGAGTGCATGAATTTCATGCATCGGGCCTCTAGTTAAAAATAATGAAGTAGGTAAATGTATAGCAAGTGATATGGGAAGACGTCCATGATGTAAACTCTGTGTTTTTTTTTTGCTTTTTTTTTTCCCTCTTCTGTTTCCAATCTCCTTCTGCATCCCTCTTACCAGGATACAGGTGATTATATTTATAGCTCCCCCCCCCCGCCCCCCGATAATCACATCTTCTGCCATCGAAGGTAATATTCAGAGGTTCTGGGGATAAGAAGTGACAATATCTTTGGGGCGCCAGTTTTTCTTCCCACCACAGTCAGTGAGTGGCAGAGTAAGCGTTGATGCCAGGGGTTGTCTGATTCCAAAGCCTCTAGTGACTGCTCATGCTTTGGAGCTCCAGGCCTGGTGCCTCTCGGCTCCTTTCTGCAGGGGGCGGGTGTCACTAGCTAAGAATTCCCGGGCACTTTGACCCTGCAGTTCCACTTCTGGAATGCATCCACACAAAGGGTCATGCGGTTGCTAAGACTGACAAAAATGCTCATTCTTTGTGGTAACAAAAACTAGAAACTACTGAAAATTCACCTGTAGGGGACTGGTTAAATGAAGTATGGTAACCCTTAAATGAAATAGTTAAACTATCCTATATAATAAAAGGCTAGTATGCAAATCGACCGAACAGCGGAATGACGGGTCACTGTGATGCGCACTGACCACCAGGGGGCAGACGCTCAATCTAGGAGCTGCCCCCTGGTGGTCAGTGCGCTCCCACAGGGGGGCACCACTCAGCCAGAAGCCAGGATCACGACTGGCAAGCACAGTGGTGATGGCGGGAGCCTCTCCCGCTCCACAGCAGTGCTAAGGATGTCCATCAGTTGGACTTCTCCGAGGTCTCCCAGACTGCGAGAGGGCGCAGGCGGGGCTGAGGGACAGCCCCCCCCCCCTGCCCCGAGTGCATGAATTTCATGCATCGGGCCTCTAGTTAAAAATAATGAAGTAGGTAAATGTATAGCAAGTGATATGGGAAGACGTCCATGATGTATTATTAAAAGGAAAGAACAAATTACCCACATTTTTAGAGTGAGTTTTGATCCCATCAGAGTGAAGAACAAAAGGAAAAATGGTCAGAAGAGGAACGAGGAACTTCTGTGATGCAATTTTTATTAAAATATTATGTGTGCACTTGAGTATGGTTATTAAAAAGCAAATTAAAATTCAGTCCCTCAACCATGAAACCACATTTCAAGGGCTCAGTAGCCTCATATGGCTCGTGGCTATCAGATTAGACACACAGACGGAGAACGTTTCTGTCGTCTCAGAAAGTTCTGGCCAGAGCTTCCTACGTTATTACGTGGCCAGAGGGAGGCCGTTCTTTCTGTATGTGGTAGCCTTCTGTGAATGTTTACATTTTTTATAACAAATCAGCACGTTTGCCATTATCAGAAAAATAGAAGCGCATTCTATTTCTATGAAAACATTCTATTTCTTAAGTTGGCGGTAGTTTATTACCATTATTGGAGGTGTATGTGCTGGTGGGTGTATAACCTCCTTTTAAAGTATGTGTCATGAAAATATTTAAACATACACGGGGGGGAAAAGGAGATTTGCCTGGTGGGGCACCGGTGGCAGGCCAGGCCTGAGGCTGGAGGACTTGCAGCCGAGTCTGGTTCCTGGACCCAGGGCTTCCCAGCTTGGCCACGTCACTCAGCCGGTTTGAACCTCAGTTTCCTAATTTGACAGAATTCTGCTTGACCTGCTTTATAGGGTTAGAGTAAATTTTAGAAGTGTGATGATCTGTGGAAAACTCCGAAACTGCCTGGCCTGCGTGGCTCAGTGGTTGAGCGTCTACCTATGAAGAACCAGGAGGTCACGGTTCGATTCCCTGTCAGGGCACATGCCCGGGTTGCAGGTTTGCAGGTTGATCCCCAGTAGGAGGCATGAGGGAGGCAGCCAATCAGTGATTCTCTCTCATCCTTGATGTTTGTATTTCTCTCTCTCCCTTTCTCTCCCTCTCTGAAATCAACAAAAACATGTTTTTTAAAAAAACACACGAAAAGAAAAACTCTGAAACTGAGGAACATGCTACAGAGACTGGAGGAAGGGTCAGTAAACAACACGTGAGTTGCCAAAGGCCTGGGGAGGTGAGGTCCCAGTACAGCACTGTGACCACCACTGGGACCAGCGACCTTGCCTGCTCCCGGATATTTTCTAGGTCTCGCTGAGGTCGCCATGAGCAGGAGGAAGTGTTGCCATAGTCCCACTAATGACCTTGCTTGGAGATTTAGAAACAACCATTTATTTTATTTATTGAACAAGCAGTGATATGGCGTTTGCTGTTTGCCATGCACAGTTCTAGGTGCTTTACAAATACGTACTCATTTTATCCGAATGCAACCCTGAGGTAGCCACTGTGAGCATGCTCATTTCATGCAGGAGGAAACAGAGGCTCAGAGAGGTCAAGTAACTTGCCCCAGGCCCCACAGCTAGGGAGGAGTGGGTGTCCAACTTAGGCCGTCCCTGCCTTCTCCTTTCATCCTGCTCCTCTTGCCCCCATCAAATGTGGTCAGAGAGTCCCTTATGCCAGTTTCTCTATCTCAGGGGCATGAGGTTCAAATTTTGATACGAAATTTCGTGACTGAGTGTTCCTGACTAACTTGGTAGGCGCGATGCCAATGTTCTGGCTGAGCTTGGTAGCAGGACTAGGTGGGAGTGGGCTGTAGCATTAGGCCAGTCCGGGCGCCGGTCCGTGATTTGCCACTCATTCGCTGTGTGACTTCTGGCAGGTTGCTTCATGTCTCTGATCTTCCAGGGGTTTTGTGAAGGTGACGCTTTCCGACTGTGACAGTGCTCGTCGTCCTGTCGGGCAGGCGGTCGAGGCCTCCCTAGTCACTCTCCTTTCCTTCCTCCTTACCTGCAGCCGCAGTGTGCTTCAGAGATGAGGAAGTCCCCATGCCTGTCTTCAAGGAGTTCACAGATGGCCTAGGTGGGGGCTGGGGAACCTTCGAGATCAGGAGTCAGGGGACTTGCGTTGGTGCCATTGGACAGGTTTCTCTGATTACCTGTAAGTGGGGGCCTGGGTGGGCAGCTTTCTGATTTGTCACGTTTAGGCCAGGACAAGCCTGTGCCGGCGGGCCCAGCACCGCGGCGGGTGGGCATGAGGTGCGTCACCTTTTCCCTTCAGGCCACTCTTGTCACCGCTGCCGCAGCTTCCTCTCCACAGAGCTCTGTAGAGCCTGCTGGCTCTGTCCAGAGTTGGAGTGACGGGAACACAGATGGCTTCGGGTGCCCTCTGCCTGCCAGGACCTGGGGGCGGTAGGTTCTGCAGGTGCAGCATGAGTCAGAGGCAGCTCCTCGTGTGTTCCTCTGCAGTGAGGTTGCGGGGGGGGGGGGGGGGGGGGGGGGGGGAGCTGTGGGAGCAGCAGGCATCGCCCCTTTTGGCTGAAAATTATGGAAAAGGGTCATCTGTGTGGATGGGGCTGCCCATGGGTCTTGCTGGATATGCACGTGGCTTGGCGTGGGAGGCCTGGGGGACACCAGGTGGGAAGTGGAGGGGGACTCCTGGTGTCACGCTGCCTCCTGGAGAAGTGGCCATCTTGGCAGGCAGCCGGAAGGTGAACACGTGGAGGAATCCATCCAGCTCACCTTTCTACTTCCCCGTACAGCAGCCACTGAAGGGGAGGCGGTTCCGTCACCCCAAGTTTAAGAATCTCGTAAAGGGAGTTCATATCCTGTGATGACACAGAGGAATTGCACTTAGCAGGCCCATTTAAAGAGGGGCCGGGAAATGGACCCTCTTTTAATAGTGTGGCCTTTACTGGGCAAGTTAACTCCTCAAGCCAGCCAGTGTCAGGATCTGAGGGGGTGTCTGTGGTTTTAGGGCTTCTTTGCCTCATTCATTGATTTGTATAGATCTTTCCAAATTCCGGTGGCACCTGTAGGGTCTGAAATGTGAGCAGGCGTATGATGACTCCCCCAGCATTCACTGATAAATCTTCGTCACTATTGACTCATTCTGAGAACGGGGTGGAGGGGCAGGAGACTGGAAAAGAAAATGGGGCGCGACTCTGCTTTCCTCTAAATTTCACAGGTGGAGGACAAGCCAGTCCCTCTTTGGCTCTCGGTCTCACAAGTTCATTGTCACTGGGCCCATTGCCTGTGGACAGCTGCAAGCCCCTCCTTTGCTCTCTGGATGGCTGGCCTCAGCGCCTGTCTGACAGCCTCGTTCCTCTTCTGACCAGAGCAGCATTGAATTGGGAGGTGACACCTCCGTGTCTCCTTCTTCAAATGCAAAACCCTCTCCCCCTCTCAACCTGAGGATGGACATTTATGGCCAAAATGTCTCCTTTTCTTTCAGCGTTGGTTTTTGGGTCATAGCAGAGTTAGCCGGTGAGAGAGGTGGCCGTGGGAATACTTCTGGGCTAACCTATAAACCCTGGAGAAAAAAAGTGACCATAACCCCGGTGATGTTTCCTTTTGTTCTTCACTCTGATGGGATCAAAACTCACTCTAAGCCACTGAGTGAAACTTGAGGTTCACTAAAGAATAAGAGACTGACAGGACAGGTGTAGAGGTGTCAAGAAAGAATGCAACTGGTCTGACAAATTGGCAATTACAAAGTAGTCATGGGACGTAAAGTGCAGCATCGGGAATACAGTCAATAACATCGTAATAGCTGTGTAAGTGCCAGTGAGTACTGGAAATATCGAGGGGAACACTAGGTAGAGTATATGATTGTCTAACCACTAAGCTGTACACCTGAAACCCAGCTATATATATAAAAGCCTAAGCGACCATCTGATCATTTGACCATCCGACCCATAGCTATGATGTGCAATGACCACCAGGGGGAAGATGCTCATCACAGGAGCTTCTGAGCTGCAGTGACTTGGCAGCTGGGGTTCTCGGGTGACACATCCAGAACCAGAGAGGAGGGAGCCCACTTCCGGTGTGCATCACCTGAGAACTGCCCTCTTGTAATCCAGGACCCCTCGGGGAAGGTTGGAGAGCTGGTTTCGGCCCGATCCCTGCAGGCCAGGCCGAGGGACCCCACCAGTGCACAAATCTGTGCACCAGGCCTCTAGTACCAAATAAAATTGAAAGGCAAAAAAGAAAGGAAAGCTATCGGTCTGAATGGAAATAGACAATTCCTGTGGGTCTTGGGTCTGATGTCTGCTGGGTATGTCATTTCACATCTCCTCAGCCCTGTGGTGTTGGCGGCTGACAGCTAAGGACTCTTAGACTCTGTGTGCCCAAAGTCTCACCACTTGGGAGTGGCCTCATTAAGACTCGAACCAAGGGTCACTCCAAAGCCATTGCCATTAACCAGGAAGCCATAAAGTCTCCCAGGAACTGCTCAGGGGACAGTATCCATGAACTCAGCCTGCAGGGTGAGTTAGATTTAGATACGCAGAGAGGAAAAGGAAGAGAGTTCTGGGCAAGAGGAGCAGTCAATACAATCAGAAAGCCTGAGAAAGGGAATAGAATGAGGACATGGAACAGTGCCTGCTGGTTGTAAGCTACAGAGGGCAGAGGTCGTGTTCTCCAGGGTCACCATGGTATCCCCAATGCCTGAGTGAGGGCCTGCTGCATAGTAGGTGCTCAACAGATATTCATTGCATGAATGAATACACTGACAGTTATCTTTTCCACAGACCAGGAGCCTCTTGAGGGCAGGGACCAGGCCTTGGAAATCTTTGGATGCCCTACAGCTCCTGGTGGTGGTAAACACATAATAAATCTGTTCTGATGGGATGAATGAATGAACGGCAGGTCAGGGATGGTGGGAGATGTGCCCGAGTGAAGAGACACTGAGCAATACTTTAGGAAATCCTGAGCACTGCACATGGGCTGGCACGGTGAGGGCATCCCTGGAAGGCTTTCAGTGCCAGGACAAGGAGCTGTTGTGTTCTCCTCGAGGCATTTTTTAAAGCTATCTTTTAATGCACCACACTGGGGGCTCTGCAGAAACCCAGCCAGTGCCTAAACTTTGATGGCATTGCAAGGGAACTACAGTCAAACACAGCTTAGAAATCACTTTTCTTTTTTCGCTTTCTTTTTTTAATATATATATAAATATATATTAAATATATTTTATTGTTTTTTACAGAGAGGAAGGGAGAGGGATAGAGAGTTAGAAACATCGATGAGAGAGAAACATCGATCAGCTGCCTCCTGCACACTCCCTACTGGGTATGTGCTCGCAACCAAGGTACATGCCCTTGACCGGGATCGAACCTGGGATCCTTGAGTCCGCAGTCCGACGCTCTATCCATTGAGCCAAACCGATTAGGGCTTTTAATATATTTTTACTAGTGACCCAGTGCACTGATTCGTGCACACTGAAAGGAAATTAATTAAAATTCCTGGGGCAACATTGTGGCTCAAAGGGCGTGTTTGGAGTGAGGGGCGGGGGAGGAGAAAAAGAAAGAAAACTTACACTCGGGTCTTCCGGCTCGCAGCACTGGCTCCGGTGCAGGGACTAATGCAGGCGGTCCCGGGTGGTGGCCAGCGGGATGGGACTAGGCAAGATGGACAGGACACGCCCTGGAGCCAACCTCCCGTGCTCCCTCCCCAGCTGGCTGCACCTGGGGTGGCGCCACAGTTCAAGGGCATCTGTGGAGTGAGCGGGCTCCCTTTGGCAGGTGGGGTCCCTTGGCCTGGCCTGCAGGGGTTGGGCTGAAACCAGCTCTCCGACATCCCCTGAGGGGTCCTGGAGTGCGAGAGGGCACTCTGCAAAGTTGCTGTCGTACAGGGTATGGAACGCAAATACCAGTGTGCAGTAAACCAGATTCGGGGCTGACAGTGCCCCAGCAACAACATAACCCACAGCCGAAGGTGGAATTGCATGGCTATGCAAGGAATTGGGCTCTCTCCTCTCTGGTTTCGGGGTGCGTCACCTGAGAACCACCACTGCCAAGTCACTGCAGCTCGGCAGCTCTTGCATTGAGCATCTGCCTCCTGGTGGTCAGTGCGTGTCATAGGTACCGGACGGTCGGACGGTCACTTAGCCATATATATGTATATTGATTTCAGACAGAGGAAGGGAGAGGGAGAGAGAGATAGAGACATCAATGATGAGAAAGAATCATTGATCGGCTGCCTCCTGCACATCCCCCACTGGGAATCGAGCCTGCAACCCAGGCATGTGCCCTGACCAAGAATCGAACCATGACCTCCTGGTTCATAGGTTGATGCTCAACCACTGAGCAACACTAGCTGAACTAGAAATCACTTTTCTGTCTGGTTGGTCTCAAACTGACCCCCTTCACTCCCTTCCTACTGTGGGGTGACCACACTGTTTAAACCAGTGGTTCTCAACCTTCTGGCCCTTTAAATACAGTTCCTCATGTTGTGACCCAACCATAAAATTATTTTTGTTGCTACTTCATAACTGTAATGTTGCTACTGTTATGAATCGTAATGTAAATATCTGATATGCAGGATGGTCTTGGGCGACCCCTGTGAAAGGGTCGTTTGACCACCAAAGGGGTCGCGACCCACAGGTTGAGAACCTCTGGTTTAAACCAAAACAGACCTGTTAAAACTTTTAAATGGGAACCCCCAGGGTAGAGATATTATTGAGGGGGCGGGGTCCTCGAGTTGTTTATAGATCGTTTGGCTCAAAAGTCCCAGCTGACTTCCTCCAAAACATGGTCTGCTCAGCCCAGGAGTTCTCAATAAACGCCGCCCTCTCTTTCCAGGTGTTGGCTAAATTTGTGGTTTTAAGAAAACCCGAGCCTGAAGGCAGCCACCCTGGGAGAAGCCCTTTCCGTGGGCAGTCGGAACCTTCTGGACCAGAGGAGAAGCCGTCCCCTCACCTGGACTTATGACCCGCGGCTTCGCCCCCAGCCTGCCCGCCGAGGTCTACAAGATGGGCTCCTTCCGCAGGCCCAGACCGCGCTTCATGAGCTCCCCAGTGCTCAGCGACCTGCCCCGATTCCAAGCCACCCGCCAGGCCCTGCAGCTGAGCTCCAACTCGGCCTGGAACAGGTAGAGGAGGCGGCCAGGGGTGGGGTGGGGGTCGCCGGGGCCAGAGCAGGGCCGGGGCCGGGCTTGGCGTCTGCTGCTTCCGAGGTCTCTGCGTCAGAAGGGACAATTGACGAAGAGAGGAGGCTTTCCTACAGGGACTGCATCCGAGCTGTCCTTGTTTTAGCAGAGGCAGAGTGGACCCCGGGGGCCTCCAGGCCAGCAGAGCCAGTTACCTAGCCCTGGGCAGTGGGGTGGGAACTGACAAGACTGTTGATGCTCATTTGTCACATCCCTACTCAGAGGACCCCTGGGTGGGACCATCTAAGTAAACTCAAGTCACCTTCTACCTATGTGTGAAGGTAAGACATGTATCTGTGAAAAGATAAGAGACCATCATGTGACGTGAGCCGCAGGTGGCTGGGAGAGGAGACACTGGGCTTTTTTGTTTTGTTTATTTTATTACTATGTCTACTCCTCCATCTAGAGTAGAAAGTCTAAACTCTAGAAAGAGAAAGTCCTTTGTGCTGTTAACATTTCCAAGTAGGGTGATAAATAATTGCTACCCATTTGCTGAGGTGGTTCGAGACACTGGGCTTCTTTGTAAGGTGTCTCCCCGACCTTTTGCACAAGCAGAGTAGAGCATCAATGCTCTGTCTTGCGCTCCTGTGGCCACTATTTTTCAAATCTCTGCACTTACTCTCCGGATAAATTAAAGGCAGCATTCTCTGGAAGCATCACTGACTGCTTTGGGGTCAGAAGTTATGGATTTTCTCAGTGAACGCGGCTCTTATGATGGGGAAAGAGCGGAGGCTCTGAAATGTTTTGATGCTCACTGGATCCTTGTTCTTTCAAAAAGGCCTGGGACCCTTGGAATCAGCTCCTTGTGGAACTATTGGGGTCCCAGAGAAGGTGGAGTGGAGACTTGACTGTGGCCCTTTAAGAGATTAACTTGAATGGGAGCGGAAGGGGCAGTGAGGCTGGCCCCAGTGAGATTCCTCCAAGGAAAGTACTGTTAGAAAAAGTAAGACAAGGAATGGTCATTTCCCACGAGCCCCAGGCTGCCCTCTGAAGACAGGGCCTCCTGGGAGAAGGAACCCCAGGCCCAGGTCCCCGCTGCTTGCAGAAAGCACCATCGGGTTCCTCCAGGCTCAGCAGGGCTGCCAGTGAGGGAGGAGGAAGGCTGCCGGCCTGGAGAAAGTGGGGGGAGAGGGCTGCCTTGGGGTCCTCGTGACTTCAGTCTTCCTTCCTCTCCAAGGGCCCTGGTCAGAAAATGATGGGCTCCGGGGATGAAAATGTGGCCCTGTTTATGCTGCGATTTTTGTGTGTTTTTTTTCCTCCTTCCAGCCCCCTTCATCCCTGAGCTGTGTGTAGACATGGCTGTGGGCAGATCCTCTAACCAGGACTTGCTTCTGTTTCTTTCCCTGCAGCGTGCAGACCGCCGTGATCAACGTTTTCAAAGGCGGTGGCTTGCAGGGCAACGAGCTCTATACACTGAATGAAAACATCAGGTACGCGCAGGCCCGGCCAGAGGGCAGAGGGCGCCGGCCCACCGGGGGCCTTATCTTAAGCTTTGTTTTCTGCTTGATTCTTCTTGCTGCTTCTGCTGGCTCTGTTTGTGCCTCTTATGGCTGTTCAGTTCTGAGACCCTTATTGGTCTAGACCAGTGGTCGGCAAACTCATTAGTCAACAGAGCCAAATATCAACAGCACAATGATTGAAATTTCTTTTGAGAGCCAAATTTTTTAAACTTAAACTATATAGGTAGGTACATTGTTATTAACCTAATTAGGGTACTCCTAAGGCTTAGGAAGAGCCACACTCAAGGGGCCAAAGAGCCGCATGTGGCTCACGAGCCGCAGTTTGCCGACCACTGGTCTAGACTTCTGCTCCAGAGGGGCCCATCCATTTGTTCATGGATGTAGAGTGTGTGTGTGTGTGTGTGTGTGTGTGTGTGTGTGTGGCGGGGGGTAGAGGGCTCATGGATGGTAGCTGTCTTCTGTTCTATAAACACTGACTGTGCTCTGCTTAACCTTCAGGCACCATGTTAAGCAAGATGCCAAGCAGTTGTAACCACTCTGCTGGGGATTTTATTGCGGGTCTTTTTACTAAGTGAATGACGGACTTTTTTGTGCCTCAGTTTCCTCTTATGCGAAACAGGGATAGAAAACGTGTCTACGTCCATAGGACTCACGTGTAGATTCGAGTGAGTTGTTACACAAATTATCCGTTAGAACACGGTTGGAACACACTAAGTACTTGGTCCTTGTTGCTCTTTCTGTTGTTGTAGTTGAGGCGACATTTATTCTTTCTTGTTCTCCCCATGTGTGGACTCACTCCATAATAGTTACTATCAGAATACAGGCTGCTGTAAGGAGCAAAAATCCGACAAATGGGACTTCAGCAAGTAAGGGATTTAATTGTCTCACTGTCTAGGGAGGCCAGTCCAGGGCTTGAGTGGCAGCTACACTTGTCCTTCAGCTCTGCCATCAGAATCTTGGGGCCTTTGTGCCTTGGGCACCTGTGGGCATCGCTTCTTCATTCAAAAAGAAATTAAAGGCCAAAATGCCATGCAAGTCCAGTTTTCCCAGAGCTCCTCAGGCAGGACTGGGGCCCTTAATTGCAAGGGAGTCCTTTTTACTGGGCACATTACCCTCAACAAAAGGAGCGGAGTGAACACCTAAGCCATCTTCCTCCTGGGGGCTGATGCCACTGGCCTGTCACCACCCAAGTCTGGGTGTGTGAGTCCTTGTAGTTCTTAACATCGTTATCAGTTACTGTCATTCCTGGTAGGTTTTGGGGATACAAACCTCAATAAGACATGGTCCTTGAGGAGTTCATTGTCTTCCAGAATCTTCCCAGTGGAGTAGTGTCAGCATTCATTCATTCATTCATCTACCCATTCATACATTCATCAAATACTTGAGTGCCTCCCTACTGGCCAGGGACTAGAGAGACACCAATGAACAAAGACAGACATGGACCTTGCTCTCCTGGAATTTATAGTCTGTCAGGGAGATAATCATTAGTCAGCCAGTCACGCTTGTAAAATGTAGAAGTGCAGCTGTGACAGCTGCTACCTCACAGCTGAGCGAGGAAAGCATATGTCCCCATAACCCAATCCTGCCCAGGAGGCCAGGAATGGTGCTGGGATGCTTGTGCTGTGAGCTGAGGCATCAGTGGGAATTAACTAGGTGAAGAGGGCTCCAGGTGGTGGGAACTGCAGGTGAAAGGTCCCGTGGTGGCAGTGAGCAAGGAACTGGGTGAAGACCCACGTGCATGGAGCACCAGAGGTCGGGTGGTGGTGGGAAGTGAGGGCAGCGGGGCGGGCAGGGCCCTGAACCCCAGGGCCTCCTGGGGGCAGGAGGTTAAATATCAGATCTTTTCATGCCCTGGTGTTCATTCCTCTCTGCTGTGTTAAGTACAGACATGAAGGCAGAAGATCCCACCCTGGAGTGGGCAGAACAATAAACAAGGCCATTATTCAGGTCCTGTTTACATTTAGTCAAGCTCTGTGTTAAGGGTCAACGGGGCGTTTTAAGAGCCCTGCTTTCATGAAAACCTTTCCAGCTCAGAAGTAAACAGGGTTGTGTTACATTTCTACCCAGGTGCTTGAATTTCACATCATAATTACACAAATATGGGAAGAGTCCATAGATAGCATCGCACGCACGGCCTCCTCCCACAGAGGAGGAAGCCCAGGCCCCAAGACAGAGGCAAAGCTGGGTCAGCCAAGCCCAAGGTATGGGAGCTCAGTTTTCCTCTCAGAACTCAGGCCCTGGCCTCTCCTGGGGGTTCCTCAGCTCACAATCGAAGCATAAATAAAAACAGTGACTCAGGAATGTGTAATTGTTCCTCACCTCGGGAGACCGATCCTGAAATTGTATTTAAAACCTTTGTCTGTGGGCAGCCAGGAAAAGTGGAGGCCTGGCCAGATTTCACCAGCTCAGGGCTGCTAACTCGGAAGCCTCCGGGTGCCAAGCAGGTCTTCGACATGGGTGAGGCCGGCCTGGTGCAGGGAGGCGAGAGCTCACCCCCTGCGAAGGGGATTACCCCAGCAGAACACAGGTCCAGCGACTTGTCATCTTATTTCTCCAGAAGAACAGGAAATTGGGATTTTTATGTGAAATTTCCTGGCTTTTAAATGTTGATAACGAATCCACATTTCCTCAAACATTGGCGCAGGCCAAACAAAACACATCTGTGGGCTGAATTTGACCAACAGGTACCTGTTTATGAGGTTAGCTGTGGCCTGCATGGGACAGGCATTGCTGACGGGGATGCGGGGGCGTGGGGGGGTGTCGCATCCCAGAGTCTAGTCCCAAGGCCACTCGAGGGGGAAGAAGGGAGCCTGGAAAAGCCAGGCACCTTTCACATCCATCAATACATTTACTCTCCTCACTGCCCTGCGAGGAAACCACAGTCATCAGTAGTTTATCCACAAAATTGTGGATAAGTAAAACCAAATACCTTGTCCAAGGTCATGCAGCCAGAAGGGTAGAATCAGGATTCGAACTCCTGTCTGACTTAGATGCCTGTATTAGTTTGTTCAGGCTGCTATAACAAATGCCATGGACTGGGTGGCTTAAACAATAGACATTTCTCACTCTTTTAGAAGTGGGAAGTATGAGATCAAGATGCTGGCATATTTGGTTCCCAGTGAGAGCTCTCTTTCTGGCCAACATCTTGCTGTGTCCACATGGCTTCTTTCTTAAGTACACTAAGTGGGAGAGCATGCTTTCTGGTGTCCCTTCTTAGAAGGGCACTAATCCCACCATGGGGCCCCACCCTCATGGCCTCATCTAACCCCAATTACCTCCCAAAGAGCCCATCTCCAAATACCATCATGTTGGTGGGGGTGGGTGGAGGGCTTCGATATATGAATTTTTCAGGGGGGACACAATTCAGTTCATAGCAACACCTGTGCTCTTTGCACTCTATTGTAGTGTCAGAGAGGGGTTTTAGGTTGGAAGAAGGTTAAGGCGATGGTCTTGAACTTCCTGCCATCGTCCCTTTCATGAGTCTGTGAGCCCATCCCTCATCATGTGCTGTGATTCTCAACACCCTCCGAGGAGCATCACACACACACACACCGCTGATGGGTTTTGGGGGCTGCTGGATGTTCCCCTCTCTGTTTTGAGTGATTTTCAGGCTGATGGGAAATACATATGGTCGGGGTTTGCTCCTATGTGAATTGAACCCAGAGTCAAAGCTGTTAAAAACCAGAGCTTCTGTTACCCATGTTCTGAACCGCCCATCTCCTGGCCCTTCTCTGGGAGGGTGGCTAGACTGGAGACGGGCTTTCACATCACGGGAACAACTTGGAGTATAACTGAGAACGTGAAACACGTCCCAGGCCTCTATGTGACCTGGTCATCTAAGGTGAATGAAGTGGGCTGACTGGCACATGGCCCACATCTGTAAGTGCCTACACAGAAATGAAATAATGCCCTTCTTTCAGCAATTAAAATGCCAAAAGAGACATGTTATTCTTTACGTAATGTTCACATTGACAGTTGGGTTTTGCTTTTCCTTTTCTCTTCTTTTTCCTTTTGGAACACCTGTTGGCAGCCTACATCCAGAAACGCCACAGGTTGAGGCATGACCGGTGGTGGGGTGCGTGCATGGGGGCGGCAGGGGGGCGCATAGGATGGTAGGAACACAGGGAAGAAGATGCGGAAGGAGAGGAGAGAATGTAAGTTATTCTCAAGCCAGTTTTCAATCCACTGTGACAGTTCTCTGTGCAAGAAGACCTGTGCCAGGTTCGGCAAGATATTTTTCACTTGTTAAAAGAGTAGCTTTTGGCTGAAACCAGTTTGGCTCAGTGGATGGAGCGTCGGCCTGTGGACTGAAGGGTCCCAGGTTCGATTCCGGTCAGGGGAATGTGCCTGGGTTGTGGGCACATCCCCAGTCGGAGATGTGCAGGAGGCAGCTGATCGATGTTTCTCTCTCATCGATGTTTCTGACTCTCTCTCTCTCCCTTCCTCTCTGTAAAAAATCAATAAAATATATTTTTAAAAAAAGAGTAGCTTTTGGATTCAAAGAGACAGGGGATCCAGATTGGACTAGCTGGGCATTGGCCAGTGTGGCTCAGTTGGTTGGGCATCATCCTGTGCTCAGACAGGTTGCCGATATGATTGCCCGGGTTTGGGGCTTGATCCCCAGTGGGGGCGTGCAGGAGCCAACAGATCGATGTTTTTCTTTCACATTGATGTTCCTCTCCCTCTCTCTCCTCTTCCTGTCCCTCCCTTCCTCTCCCTCTATAAATCAATAAGAAATATATATTTTTTTAAAGATTAGACACACTATAGAACCTTGGGCCCCGCACATCATTTTTCTACGATTCTTTTTTTCTTTTATGTAATGGGGGCAATGATGACGTCAGTCTCAGGGTGGTTGGGGAGTGAGGTAATGGTCAACATGTCACTGGTACAGCGTCCAGCACATAATAAGCCTCAGCCATTATTATCCTGTTACCATGGACACTTAGCCGTACTAATGTGATAAATGA